AAACCACTAAACTGAGAGGGGAGTTTTTGCTTGAATCCTCTTCCTTTTCCTCTACAAAGTTGATTCTAAGTTTCCAAGTCGTCCACGCAAAATAAATAATACACGCACAGAGAGATAAAAGGAAAGTTAAGGCAAGAGAGTCCAGGTAAATAAAATATCTATAATTCTCAACCAATATATTTACGTTTTCTCCCACGTTTATTTAATCAGTTTCAATAATTTAAATTTGATGTTATTATAGGATAATTTTTTTCCTTTCCAGCTTAAAAACGTGGTTTAATATTCAGAAATTGTATGGAGTTATACGATGGCTCCCTCATTGAGTCATTCATAACTTTATGTAACATGTGTCAAATGTATATTTATTAATACATCATTTGTGAATAACTACGAATAGCTTCATGACAAAACCGTATTATATAATTAGGAGTCATAATATTATAATTTAAATAAGATTTGCCTAGTATTGTCTACTAAAATAAAAGGAAAAAATTAATTCTGACGATAAACAAAATAATGATAAATAAATTTTAAATATTTAAATAATTTGATTTCCTAAAATATTTTGCAAACTTCATAAATATTTAATTAAAATTGTGGATTTCCTAATATAATTTGCAAACTTTATAGTGTTTTTGATGGAACTATTCATCACCCTCCAATAATTCATTATCAATCTATACTATATAAATATGTACACTATCTATGAATTAGTAAATAATACTTTAACATAAAATTAGTATAATAAGCTTAGTAAATAATAGTTTATTATAATTAGTATAATAGATTTGTATCCAACCAACAATCATATGCAAAATAGGACATTGGTTAGTTCCGTGAAAAGATGTGGTGGCAATGTGGCATCACATGGAAACCGGGTTGGCAAATTACAGCCACACGTTTTTAAAACTTTGTTTTGTTTTAAACTTTATGTGCTTCTAATAATTTATAATTTCTTAAGATTCATAAATAATTTTATACTTCATAATTTCTTAAGATTTATAAACAATTTTTTAATGATATTATTAATTAAGATAATTATTCTTCATAAACATTTTCTTCAAACTATTTTTTTACTGCTTTTTACATGGACAAAAATTTAATATACCATTTATTATATACTGATACAGTGACACTTTTATGTTTGAGAATAAAAATACAGAATTAAAACTTGTCTCATTAACAAAGCTCTTACTTTATAAATTCGCATATCAGCTCTTTGGCCAACTAAAGTCATTCTCAATCAACAAAGCTCTTACTTTAGTATTTGTTTGAAAACTTTGAACTTTCAAATACCTGAAGACTCTAGTGTACTATGACTTTTTATATTTTTGTATATTTTCTGGCATATTTTCTTTGTTGTAATTCTGATTTTACATATATGTAAATTAATAACGTTGACAAAACACAATTAAACTTAAACTGTATTTATTATAAAAGAAGTAAATATAACTCAGCGAAAGATAAATAAAAAATAGTACTGATTATTTAGTAACTGATTATGTAAAATCAATTGTTTTAATTATAACTATCTACTTACACAAAATTCATTTATAACTTGTATTCGCAAGTGAATATTGTGAATTGAATTATATCATTCTATATCTTAACCCCTAAACTCATAAATCGATCTAAAAATTTGCTCTAGTCAATAATATAACCAGCTTTTACTCAAGTGTTTGCTCTAAGTAATTGGAAAAAATGGCGCCTCTATCATACAATGAATTTGGGGTGCCAACCTAATATCTAGGTCTGTAAACAACTCGAGCCAGATCGAACTTAAATCTAACAAAATTAATTTGATTTTAACTCATTTATCATTATTAATAAGTCTAAACATGTCGAGCGAGCTCAAGTACTAATGAATTGAATTATAAAAAATTATATAAAAGTATTTTAAAACGAGTTTTAAATTGTTGGTATTTAAAGTATGAGATTAAGAAATTGAATTTGTAATTGATTGGATAGAGAGAAATACAGTGATTATGTGGGGTAGAGTAATTGATTATTGGAGGTAGACAAAATAGTTGTTTTCTATTTAATTCTTATTACCCTACTTCCACAAACACATTACATGTATTTATAGGAATGCTAAGTCAGTTCTAACCGACTTATAAGGAAACTTCATGACCTTTCTTCATTTTAATTAATAATTCTTATCACTAGATCCATCTAGATTTTCTCAAATAATAAGAACACTAATAAAGTAATTCTATCTAGTCTAGAATCTTCTTCTATGAGCATCAATATTTAATACTCCCCCTTGATGCTCATTTGGATAATACAGAGCTTTTCTTGTAGTCTCTCGAATCTTAGTCTCGGCAGCGCTTTCGTAAAAATATCTGTTAGTTGCTCCTCTAAAGAGATATACTTGAGCTCTCTTTGCTCGTCTATGTATGTAGCGGTTTTATACGGCTTGTCTTTGAATTATTTTTGTAGTGATTTCTCTTGTATTTATTGGCTCGACAATTGCTCGATTGCACATTTTGTAGTACCTTTCTTGTTGAGGCTTTGAAACTTGTCTTCTAATGACTGTGTTTGCTTGCTTATCTTGATTATGTGATTTAGGGACTGGAAATTTGTCTTCTAATGACTGTGTTTGCTTGCTTATCTTGATTATGTGATTTAGGGACTCCGATATTTTTCTTCTCGACAACTTCTCCTTGATTGTTGACACTTGATTTGGTAATTTGTGTTGGGTATTGAAATTCTATTGAAAAACATTGATTCTCCCCAATTTTGATTTTTGCAGTTACTTTATTGTTCTTGTCGTAAATGGTGCATGATTCTCCTCTGAAATGCAAGTTGTAGCCTTTTTAACATTTCGCCGACACTCAGTAGATTTTGATCGATTGCTGGAACTAAGAGGACATCTTTGATGTATTTTGTTCCTTTTCTTGTGTCAATGGCGATAGTTCCTTTGCCCGTTGCCTCCACGTAGTTGTCGTTTCCAATCTTGACTTTTGATCAAAAAATTTCAATATTGCAAAAAAAACTTTCATCAAAAGTCATGTGATTGTTGTAGCCATTGTCCAAGTACCAAATATTTCTTTTGTCTTTTATTGTACTGTTGAAAGCAAAGAATAGCAATTCTTCCGGCTCTGTCTCTTCTGAAAAAATTGGCTCGTTGACCTTGTCTTCTTCCTCAACAGTTTTCCTCGACGTGGCCATACTTTTGACAATTTTTGCATTGGTTTTTCTCTTGAAACCAACATTCTCTTCTTTGTGAGTATTTTTATTGCAAATTCCACATGGTGTATCATATCATACTTTGTTATTGTTATTTTCTATCTTGTTATTGTTATTTTCTCCAAATCTTCTCCCCCCAATTTTAGAATTTTGAGACCGTAAATTTAGTTTTGACTGAAATGCGTTTTCTACTGTGTCATTTTCACGCATACTCAGTCTTTTCTCATAGGCTTCAAGTGAACCTATTAATTCAGTCACTGACAATTTATCCAAATCTTTAGTTTCTTCAGTCGTCGTGACGATAGGATCATATTTAGCTGGTAGAGTAATAAGAATTTTTTCTACCACCCTTTTGTCAGTAATATTTTCTCCATATGCTTTTAATTGATTTACTACTTCTCTTAATCGAGTGTAGTAATCTTTTACGTTCTCAGATTCTTTCATCTTTATATTTTCTAAATCTCTTCTTAGAGTTTGTAATTTTAGATGGCGTACCTTGTCACTACCCTGATATTATTCCTTCAGAGTATCTCAAGCCTCCTTTGATGT